TATATCGGACGATATATATCGTGTACATCGTTCCGATTCACAACTCTAATTGGCTGTCGACGTAGTGGCGTACATCATGCGATTGGTTGCGTTACTGACGAGGTACACCCTGTCCGCCACTCCGATTGAATCGTTTTCTTCGAGTGCGTCGACTCTGGACCCCACGTCTTCACAGGTGGTCAAAGGTCACCTTGGGGGTAGGTTGGGAGCACCCCCAAGGTCGGGCAGGTTGTGGAGGGAGGTTGGGAGGCAGCCCCAACCCTGCCCTGAGCTCCTGGTTGTACAACCACGGATGCGGAAGGTTGGGAGGGCTGTCACAACCTTGGCCAGCCGTGCTGGTTGTACAACCACGGATGCGGAAGGTTGGGAGGGCTGCCACAACCTTGACCAGCCCTCCTGGTTGTGCAAGCATCAATGATACAGGTTGGGGGGCAGCCACAACCTTAGACCAGACCTCGTAGTTGTGAAAGCACCGATGATACAGGTTGGAAGGTAGTCACAACCGTAACCGCAACGGTTGCAGCCAACCATGGACCCCGCCAGACAGATGGGAAGAGAGGGTGGGGGTTGGGTATCCGAACCAGCGAGCCCCCTATCAGTGGCCCTCCGCTGCTGCTGCATGCTGCATGCTGCAGAATGTCGTCCTGCCCGTGTCCCCATGACGAGTTAGCTAGCCTTGACCAAGGCGACAGGCGACCAGAGGCTGAAACATACCGTTCCTTTCGTAACCAAGGCAACCAGCTTCTATATCTAGATGCTCGGACTTCGGGCACAGCAACCGCCGAGGCTAAACCCGCCGCACGGTGCTGTAGGGAGCCAAGATGAGCTTCCACACGGCACGCGTGGAGAAAAGAGAGCGACATGCCGGCAGCAGTTTTACTGCTTAGGTAAGCGATTCCCCTCCAGTTATATCTGGATGGCACAGCAGTAGTAGCAAAAGAGGATGAATGCATGTAGGGAAAGTTGTGTGTTCATGTATCCTATGTTGTTCCTGTTGGGATAGGCGCGAACGCAGCACGTGCTGTCACAAGCGTCTCCGCTCAGGCACCAGCAGTTGGTCCTGCACGCCCAACGACTCTCGGCCTACTGTGTGCACATGCGGCTTTTCCTCATCATATAGAGCGGGGATTTTCCCGGAGGCGTCAATCAGCGCCAAGCCTGAGAGATGGGGGTAATACGTCGTCTAGACTAGGTACTTGGTCGTTTCGTTTTTCTCAACGGTTTTTTGTTTTTTGGAGGGGGTCGCGCGCAGATTGGGCAACTCGCGTGTCTGCGGTAACGGACGTGTCCACACGCATGCCTAACATCGATCGCATGAACCGTCCAGATGCGTCAACCAACGCCCAGACCGCATCATACCCTGTTTTTTAAATGGGTTGCTCGATTGAGAGTTGACTACTGCCGTAGGTTGCACAAGATACCACCCCTATTTACCGGATTTCAAACCTCTACATACTGCTGTTCCACGACCAAGACAATGCCGGAATCAAATGATACTTGCACATTTTCAGGAAGCTCTCGACAGACAGTTCCAACAACGCTATTTCCGGCACCGCCACTCCTTCTGCTGTGAGATGGTGGATTCGATTCTCCGCGCCTCATTTAATGTGTACCTCGGAGTGTTGTTGTTGTTGTTGTCTTCACATTAAAACCATCCCGGTCTCTCTAGTACCTCCTTCTGTCTCAATCTCTCCGTACTAATCCATCACTTGACTCGGCCAATTTCCGTGGTCACAGGCTAGCGTACCTCGAAAAGGTATACCAAAATAAAATGGACCCCAAGGGTCAGCAGAGCGATAAAATACAAGAAAACAAAAGAATCAGAAACAAATAAAACAAATAAATAGTGGAACGGCCGCACCACCAGCCTGGGGGGTAGCCTCCCACTATATGGAGGCAGGTCGACGGCCAAAAGGAGGGGCCGGGGTACGTGCCAGTATTCAGCAGTTTTTGGCCGTAAAATACCGATTAGGCTGTTTCTTCTAAGTCGTTTTTTGATTTTTGGATTATTTCTGATTCGGACAAGAAATCTTTCTCATTGAATCTCAGAAATTAGAAATCAGTCTACATCGAAGTACTTCCGGGTGCACATTTTTTATTCGAGCGAAGCGAGATTTCTAATCTCGCCTGAGAGGTCTCACCGCCACAATAGGCTCCTTGCAGAAAAATAAAAGTTTGTGCAAGATGTTCGCTTAAACTAGGTTTTAGAGTGCAGCAGTACATGACTTGATTTTAGACTCCCTCCTTTCTTTTTTTCATGAGGAGCACACAGACAGCGGATTTTGCACTACACTTGCTGCTCTGCAGCAGAGAACACACACACACGCACCGCGGGCGACACCACACCGCAGACAACACACGCACAGCAGACAGGGTACGCGTAACGGGCATCACACACGCACAGCGGGCGATAGCATTTGGGGGATCGATGCCGCTGGACTCTGGTTTTCTGTCGCACACGGTTTTTGGTTGACCGCCATGTATGTATGTGTTCAACTGCCAACAAAGAGAGCACAGCGCAACATCAGTTCTCGAAACCCAGGAGGCCGATCGCCATCGCACCACTTCGAGCGTGTGCTCCATCGCGTTGTCTCTGGGCGTGACAGTTGTGTTGGACGTGGGTGCTGTATGTGGCGAGAGCATCGTGCCGATGTGAAATGGTGTGTGTGGCTCTTTCGCTTGGTAGATGATGATGCCGCCGACTGCTGCTATACTTAGTACTGCTGTGCCCGGCGGGCAAAAATTGATCGGACTTGGTCCACGCCGCCTCGAAGCTCTTCCCACACACACCACCCGCCATGACCAACACAACTGGCGCCCCCCGAGATATCGCAAAGGAGCACACGCTCGAAGTGGTGCCATGACGATAGGTGCGCTAAGGTGACGATTGTGTGTAGCCTTTCGCTGGCACAGCTGGGCAAAAACAGCGAAAAACAATAGAACAACAGGGGGTTCAGCAACAGTACGCGGGGGGTATGCCTATGTGTGGCCACGAAATTTGGACGTCGATGGGGGGGGGGGGGNGGGGGGGGGGGGGGGGGGGGGGGGGGGGGGGGGGGGGGGGGGGGGGGGGGGGGGGGGGTGCCGGTAGGTAACGTTAACGTTTTGCCAGCTCTCTCACCAGCACACAGCAGGGGTGGTATCAAGTATGTGTGGTGTTTGCACTCTTCCACCTCCCGCGGACGCAGACGTCTGACGATAGTTATTATATCTATCAGCTGTCGCTCGTTTTAGCGACAGCTACTAATCTTCATGTTTCCACGCAGTCATCCGTTCGGAAGTGATGACAATTTTTGATCGGATGGCGAGTTTGTTTTTTGCGTTTGGACATGCACACGACACAGACAACACCATCGATTGCGCAGCACGTACTGGTCGTAGCGAGCTCATCAAGGGCTCCGAGCAACCGAAACTCCTATTCAAAAATGTACACGTTCCCATTCGTAAAAAACGAACGTCGTGTCTGTCAAGCCGCTTGTAAGTGCCTTCTTGCAAGTGCAATCGTGTTTTTTTTTACTGCTGGCAATGGAAGGCGGTCGTTTGATATTTTCCACTTGCTACCCCTTATTGCCTCATCACCGATCGGTTTGGTTTTTCGGGGATCTCTGTGCACTGGTTGACACAACAGCATTGGCGAAGCCATCCGCTCGTTACTGCGTATGGTGCCTAGGAGTTTGAGATTGAAGTTGGCGAGAGGGCGACTGCTGGTCGAAAAAGACTTCCCTCCCGAACACACACCTTTGAGACTCTTTTGGGCCGTCACAGGCTTGGTTTCGTAGCGCCCCCTGTTCACCTACCGAACCAATATAAACGTATCACAAAGCCACTCGCCCGTAGCTGTGTGTACGTGTTTCTTGTGCTGCGGTTTTCAGAGACCTTGACGCGCTGGGAGGCTGAGCAACGAAGTTGCGAGGGCCGACTGATTGCCGGTCAAAAAATGACCTGCCGCTCACTGCCGTACAGATTTCTTGACGTGTCACCGGTGGCCTCGTAGTCCTTCCGACAGCCCCTCCGACAAAGAGCAGTTGATGGACCTCCCATCTCGCAAGGTTCAGTAGAAGGGGTGATCTAGCCAGCGAAAAAATGAAAATTTTGTCCATCGATGTGTGTGTTTTGGGATGATGCTGCGTCTCTTTGCGGGTCTGTGTTCGTCAGCTGGCCAACATTTCGCTTTGAGCTCCTGGCCACACGGCAACCACATATCAACGGCTGGATGGCAGCACAGTGCCCCGAGGTTTGCTTGGAGCCCTTGATGAGCTCCGTGCAACAAGCTTGCTGCGCAGTCGATGGTTTTGTCCGTGTGGTGTGCATTTATTCCAAACGCAAAAAGCAAACGCTCCCTCCGATCAAAAACTGTCATCAATTCCGAACGCATCACCGCTTGGAAACTTCAAATATAGGGTATTCAGCCGGAAATATATGATTTCTGATCCTATGCGAACCGTTTGTCGTCCGGAAAAATAAGTTACACTTCTATTGCCTGAGAAAAAACGGTCTATTTTGAAAAAAACTTCACAGCAAGGCGTGCCAGAGATCCGAATGTTTTTATTTTTTATGTCAAGACAACACCAATAACATGAGAAAGGCGGTCGCACCGGGTCCCTCCATTTGTGGCGAAGCGGCCAACAGCAAAAAGCAAATGGTAAAAGACTTTATCACAACCCCTTTGCCTGTGCCATTTTCCTGAACGGGTAGGCTTTCAGGATTGTATGTAGCTTTCCAGAAACTGGAGAACCGGACAGTAACGATAAAAATATCTTCCGCTACGCACAGCGCTTCATTTCACGCCAATCCTCGAATGAACCCGCACCACTGATGCGAAATGTAGAGGACACCAGTTGTACGCATAGCAGAGCGAGAGGGTATGTGTGTGCGTCGTTCATATGTTGCGTCGCACCCACTTTTTTTTCCCACTCACCCCCTCTATCGTACTAGGTGAAAACCGCCATGAGCGGGCTCGGTACCGTCACGTTCTCGAAGGTTCTAGGGCCAGCGGCCAGCCAAGCACGGCGTTCCCGTGTCGGAGGGCGTGACCATGCGGAGCGTGACCGTCGACCAGGTCGGCCGATGCATGTGCACCGCCCCATAGTTCAGGTACGGTCGGGTTGAACTCCCCGCAGTAAATGCCAGATATTTTCAGAAATGGTGCTCTGTGACTTGAAAAACAAAGTAGATGGTAATTTCATGTCGCGACGCCCTGCACCTCTGTCCACCAAGAACAGATGAAGGTCTGCTACTCAGAGTCGTGCATATAATCGCTGATCCCTCCGGCATGGCATACGCAGGTCCGCTCGCATTTTGAGTAAGTTCGCCGTTTGAATGTGAACGGAAGGAACGACGAAAACGTTCTTTCGAAAGCTCAAGTGAAGCGCATGCTTAGAGGGAAGGAACGGGGGACGTGCAATATTCCTCGCGATTCATTGATTGTGGAAGATTGTGGAAGGAGTAGAGAACTTTCGACGCACACGCACCGCTACTGCTGTTGGTTTTAGGGTCTCGCATGTTGTGGCGCTAGCCTATCGTGCAGGACCGAAGTGCAGCGCGCGGTGAGCCGATAGTGTTTAATTAGCCAACATGTCATGACGTCAAGCAACCGGACACCGAGTTATTGTCCTCGTGTTGCTGACGAATTTTAGGATAGCCACTTCCGTTTTGAGCGAGGATAACTGCTGCAGTCCATCTTCGCCCTGCAGCTCGGGGTTTTCGGCGCACCCTGGCTCTGTTGTACCGGCTAAGCACCACCTCGCCCCCCTCGCGGCATGGATTGATCTCTTTCGAAGGTGCTCGAGCGGCACGACCTCGCGGACGTCATCAAGACGAGGATGGGTACTCCAGGCCACACTTTGGCAAGCGATCCCGACGACTACGGTATTTCCGTGCCTTCTCGATATGTGTGAGGCTTTTTTTGAGAAGGCGTTGCTGGGAAGGACGGCGGTGGCGACATGCTTTGGACGTCATCTGCGACATGTACGTTGATTCTGTTTCCATTTGTTAACTAGGCTCTTGCGATGCTGACCCTTCGTAATATCTAAACCTGTCTCCCATGGCGTACTGTCGACAAATTGTCGCACGATAAGCGCTCATTGGACGTGCAAGATCTGCTGAAAGTCCACCACTCTTCGACTGTTTTGTTCCTGGCGCGTGTCCAGCTTTTTGAATGATTTTCCCGCAGTTTCAGTGTGCCCTGGCGTTGTTCCTAGGCAAACGCGCAGGTGGGTTGGCGCAAGTTATGAATGAGATTAACCCCGTGGCGTCGGACAAACTGACATTCAATCGGAACGCTCTTGTTCTTTGTTTCGTGTCTATAGGGAGAGCTTCATGCAGTTGAACAACGAGCACGAAGGGGGAGGTGCGGACGGTGAAAGAAGTGGAGACGGGGTCGGAAGGATGGACAGTGATGGGGAGGGGGATGGAGATGGGGGAGGCGACGCTGGCTCCGACGGCTCGGCGGACGCTTAAGACGCGCTGACAAGGTGTGCTTTTGGCCTGTTGCCGTGGCTTGTCCTGCTAGAACGTCGTACCTGTGTGTTTCTGCTTCTTTCTCCCCCTGCCCGTGAGATGTTAAATGCTTGGGTGCTTTTCGTCGTATGTTTCGGCTTGCCCACGGCGCCCCTCGACATATGTTTCCCCAGCGAGTCGGTTCGCCGCTAGACTCCTGATACTTGAATGTACCTCGCCTCCCACTAGGTTTAGTTCTGCAGAGTTGCGTGGCTTAAACCCTCTTGTCTCTGGCGTATTCGACGTCCTGCGTCACCGGGGTTTCACCCCTTTGAGCGCCGATTTTTGTTCGCACCCCCACCATGTCTCCCGGCATGCGATGTCCACAATGTACAGCATGTCACCACCTAAAAACAGGGTTTACGTATACTGCACCCAAGGGTGAAAGCGTGCACTTCATTCCTCGACGGCCCATGTTTCTCTCCTCTGAATATTTTTCTTCGTATGCTCTTTCGCTGCTGATCGGCAACCCCCAGGCGCAGTCACCGGGATCTCCGCTTCAACGCCGTTCCACGCGTTTTCCCGGGTCCTCTCTTGCACAACGGGCCGAAGTGTTGAAGGAGGAGGCGGAGAAACTCCCCCCCCGCTCTCAATGGCTCATATTTGGGTTTGAATGATAGAATGCTGTGAAGTGCTTGTTGCTCTCGGGTAGGGTTTTTACCGTGTCTGCAAGAGCGTTTGGAATCTGTCGCTGCGGCCCTTTGCCTTCAGTTGTCGCCGATATGCTTCTTTCTTGTCCCTTGTGGGGAATGCCTTCTTGGAGGTGTTTTTCCTGTGGGGTCCGGAGGGTAGAGATGTCTCTCTCTCTTTGCAGTCCCTGCAGTGTCTTTATTTCGTTCTGGACAAAGTCGTTTTTTCGTGACTCGAACTGTGACTTTGGGGGCGGCGAGAGGGGGGGGTGCTTTATTTATTGTAGGACGTCAAAGGTCGTTTCGGTCGTTGGACAAACGTATTGGGGAAGCCCGCTGTCGCTACGTGTAGCTGTTGTTTCCGGCTTCGTCGTCTATCCGTCGTCAACAATCAAAGGCATTGGTTTCTTGCGGATCATCTCCATGATCAACGTCGATGGTGGTGCAGAGGGAAATTCAACAAGGACAGGAACCATACATTGGATACGTGTGTTTTTTTTTGTAGCTCATTTGTTTGCGGGAATCCCAAATGTTGTCGATCCCGGGCTCGAAATGATGAGTCGCGGGGCCGGGGATCAATCAGGAGCTACATTTTTCTTGATCGGAACTGCTGTGGCTTTCGGGCCGGGGGGGGTGCTCTGTTAAGTGTTGGGAGAAGGCTGTCGTTTCTACGAGTGCATGTGCATTAGGAAAATGCGCTGTTGGTACTTGTAGCTGTTGTCCCCGGTTGAGTCGTTTTTTTTCTTAAAAAGACACGATGCTTGGATATTTTATGTTGTTATTAATGTTTGGCTCTCGCTTATTGTTCATGCAACTCCACAAGTTGTCGACAACGGGCTCGAGATGATTAGTAGCGTACTGCTGTTGTTCCGATTTTGAACAACGAAACAACTATGAAAAAAAAGGGAGTGAAAAAAGGTCATGAGGGGGTATTGAACCCAGGTTTTTGTTGCTGAGCAGCGATGGTCTCGATATCGATATCCTCATCGACAAGAAACTGAGAAAAAAGGGAGTAGTGAATGAAAAAAAAAAAAACGTCATGAGGGGATATTGAACCCACGTTGTTGTTGCTGAGCAGCAATGCTCCGAAACCTAGGCAACCGCGGCTTGTACACGGCAGTGCGCCAACCTCCACAAAAAGGTACACCTTGCACCAGCATTTTTTGCCGACAACCTGTCCGAGTACCAGGTTGTAGGCAGTGCGCCAACCTCCACAAAAAGGTACACCTTGCACCAGCATCGGCAACCTTTCCGAGCACAGGTTGTAGGCACTGCGCCAACCTCCACAAAAAGGTACACCTTGCACCAGCATCGGCAACCTGTCCGCGTACCAGGTTGTAGACAGTGCGCCAACCTCCAAAAAAAGCCAGACCTTGCACACCATCGCCAACCTGTCCGCGTACCAGGTTGTAGGCAGTGCGCCAACCTCCAAAAAAAGCCAGACCTTGCACACCATCGCCAACCTGTCCGCGTAACAGGTTGTAGACAGTGCGCCAACCTCCAAAAAAAGCCAGACCTTGCACACCATCGCCAACCTGTCCGCGTAACAGGTTGTAGACAGTGCGCCAACCTCCAAAAAAAGCCAGACCTTGCACACCATCGCCAACCTACACACCAACCGGCTTGTAGGTTTCTCCCAACCTCCAAGAAAGGTTCACCTTGCACAACCTCGCCACCTCGACATTGGGGGCATCAGCCAACATCAGCCGGTAGGGATAGGTGCCCAATAATGTCAGTTGGTCGAGGTTGCCCAAGGTGCCTCCACAAGGCGGGTACTTTGGCCACCTGTGTTGTGAGAGAGAAGTGTGGCATCAGTGAGAAGGCTTTCGGTGGATGCTCCGTTCCCGGCTCCCTCATGCTCTTCCACATGTCCTTCCTCGTGTTTCGAACGTCGCGCACGAGATTCGACGCGTCCTTCTTGCTCATCTCGATCCCCTCGTCAAACCATGGAGGTACAAGTATTTCTTGCACAAGATGTCGCTGTTTCAAGAACCCCTCTTTCGTCTTGGATGAATGACTTGATGGACTGCTGCCTCTCGTTGATTTCGGACCAGATCTCCCCTCTCCTCTTTTGAAGGTGAAAATCTACTTTACGGCACTCGGCCTCGATCTGTAAGACATCGTTCAGCATGGCTTTCACGTTGTACAAGAAATCTTCGCGCCCAGTCAACTCTTCTTCTGTCTTCGGGTGTTCAGGGGGGTTCTTGGGTGGAGGTCTCTTCGCACGCAGAGGTTCAAAGAGACCCCTGTACTCCGACAGGAGGTCCTCCATAGCTTCTCCCCACTCAGGACGAAGCAGCTCGTTTTCACTTCCTCTTTTCTGGTCCACGAACTTGCGTATAATTGGCAAAGCTCGTTCAGGAGTCTTCTGCCCAGCTGCCTCGTAAATCTTCTTTGCTGCACGGGGAATATTCGTCCAAAAGTGTTCGTCGTCCCGGAACTCCCACAGTCTTCTCTCGAGGCGACACGAAAGGTGATCCACCAATCTACTCTCGAAATTGCCGGATATGTGTGTCTTGATAGACGTCATCATTTCGCCGCAGAGGGCGTCTCGTCGTCCAACTTAGATTCGTCAAGGTACGATTGCAGATCAGGATGATGCAGAGGCCTTGTGCTTTTGTGAAGAGGATTCCCCGATATTCGCGTGAAGAGCTGTTGAATGAATGTCCGGTTGACGATCAGTGTGTTCGAAGGGTCCTTCTCCGCAAGCACGTTCAGGCACACAGAAACGAGGTGACGAAGTATCCCGAGGGACTTGGCGTCCTTGTCGATTTGACGCAGTAGAACATCCTTACCGGGAACATCCTCCCGTACACAGGCGTCCATGGAAGACGTCACGGAGCAGACCCTTGTCTGTGGGTTCTTGATACCTCTCGCGAGAGCCCACGTGGCCAACTCCTTCTTTGCATGTATGTCGGGTGAGTTGTTGTCAACACGTGGTGCGAGTGAAAACATTGTGGGAGTGCCAACTACAACATCGTGCGTCTTGTATGGCTGGGAAGTGCTACAGGCTAGTGCCAACAAGTTTCACAGCGACTACTGCAGAAGAATAGAGCTTGCGAACGGTTCAGCATGAGGTAGTCAGATATAGCAGCGAGACGATGAAACAACTGTCGTCGCAACACTGCGTTCAACCCAAATCGAACGTCTTCGTGTGCAAGCTGTAGCACACGCTAAATTGGTGCGACACATTCCCTTCTGTGTGGAACCTCGTGACCACACACTACTGGGCTACTTCGCGGCGAGGGGGCTGGCAAGCACATGTAGAGTTTCACACAAGCTCGCGACTCATCATCTCCAGCATATGTCAAAGACCAGCACAGCACGGCCCCAGCGTGTGACCCGGAATGTGTAGTCTAGAACTTGGGCTGTCCGGGATATGTAGGTACACTGCCCTAGAGGGCGGTATAAACTCTAGACCTTTGACTGTCGCAAATGAACAATAACCACATCCACCCAACGAAATCGAGTAAAGACTCGAAGCCAACACCCACTTCAAACGGAAATGCCAACTGAGTAAACTCAACCCCCTTTTGCCACCCAAATCCTCGATCACAGCACGAAGGAGTCTTTTTTGCTGCTAGGAATAGCGTGCTTCGACAGTAAATTGCCCTATTGGCACCACTAACGACGGTGCTCTGCAGAGGCCTCCAACTGCGGAGAAAATGCTCCCTTTGTCAGCGAATGAGGAGAGTAGAGTACTCCTCGTGCCTCACGATTTGCCACTCGGACTCATAGCGCCTGCGGGTACTGATAGGTAGCAGGGTACTGATGCGCGACGGGGGCCGCAGTAGCCTCAACTCGCGTCCCCACGATCATCACTGCGCCGCTTATAGGTGCCGGAGCAACGTCATCAACGGGACCCTTTCGCGAGCTTCCGCGGCACTTCAAGCAACCAGTCTTGAAAAGGACAAACAGGATGACGGCACCAACCACCAGTACGCCCGCCACAGTACCTCCAGCGATGGCGCCAACCGGAGTTGCTGCGATGGCGCAGCAGTAGTTAAGGACCAAAGTGGAACGGCCAGAAAAAGGAATGGGCATTGAAATCCAGACATCCGTGGTGGACAAAGTTGCGGCAGTCGCTTTGACCTCCAGCGACGCTGTAGTTTCTATGCATCAAAGTCACCTTGCCCGGGTGGAGTAGCAAATGATGTTCGAAAAGTACTACATCAACTGCTCGCCTTCTCCGGAAGGCGTTTCCGTCATCAACTCAGGTGAAGGGCTTGCGGGTGCGGTCAGGCCGACGGCGGGAGAGCCAGTCGTCGGAGAGGGAGCAGTCTGGGAGGGAGCAGCCGGAGAGGGAGTACTCGGAGTAGTCCGAGAGGGACTACTAGGAGAGGGAGTCGAGGAGGGAGCACTCGGAGTGGTTAGAGACGGACTTGTAGGCGAAGGAGTTGAAGAGGAAGTCAGAAAGGGAGTTGGGGCGGGAGTTGGAGAGGGGGTTGGAGAGTCACAGCCACAGGTAATGGTCACCGCGGCGTCGATATCTAAATACACGTCTTCATCCGTGTCACCATATTCCTTGCAATCCCACTGCACGACCTCTGCCGGATGCAGTGTGGACGAATCTTCCTCGTCAGCGTCTTTGCATCTGCGAAAGAACTCGCCGTCCGTCGTATAGTATCCCAGTACCCAGGTACCCTGCACACAATCGTTGTCCACGCAAGCGGCGTTACGGAGTCAGAGTTCTGCCACACCGGGTGACGCGCGGTTCTCCACGTCGTACCCAAGCCGAATCATCCACGCCGAACGATATGTGGATTGTTACAGAGCCCTAGTGTTCGAAGAGCAAATAAATATGTCCTTGCCTGACCTTTGATCAAGCGAAGTACATTGAACGGTTGGTAGAGGGCGAACGCCAACGGGATGTACAACACCAATGATAGTTCTGAAAGCCCTGTGCCGAGCAAAACTACAAACTTTGACGGATGATGGCCCGGTCGTGACACTCTCCGATGGCTCCCCACGACAAAAAAAAATCTGCAGTGGCGCACTCAATCTTAACTAACTAGTTGGCCACCGGACGAACCACTCTAACGTATGTAGACTGCTGCGTTGTAGTGTGTCACTCGGTCAAGACTCACCCATGACATGTGATGAAACTGAGCGGGCAGGTGTCATGAGATGGGCATACCAAGGCCACCATGATATACTTATCATATCATCACTCTCCTCCCTGCGCCAACGTATGCATAGATAGCCATGTGTTTCCCACAGCCGACGCTTTTGAGACTTGAGGACTCCAAGGCTCGGCTCGCAAAGACAGAACAAAGTGCTTGAGAAAAGGGCCAACCTCACGTCTGAACGTTCCCGATGACTCACTCACATGTTCGTCGCCGTCATCATCGAAGTTATTACTAGAGTAAATCCCCGGGTAGCCGATGAACTCATCCCCGTCCAAAAAGTACATGGTTTCAGAATTGAAGGTGTCCGCGGACGCCTCGTAGCAACCGTCGAAGCTTAAGGAATCCTCGTACGTGACATCAGAATCGATAGTGAAAGAGTCCCCATCCGAGCAAGCCATGTCGAAACGACGCTTGTTGTCCGTGTAGTCCGAGCTGGATAACGGTGATGGCAGTATTGACGGCGAAGAGTGTCGCCAAGCAAGCTCTCAATACCTGTGGTGTGAGCTCTACCCTTGATGTGCCGAAGAACTTGGTGCAACCCAGATGTATATCCGATTTGCACCTACGAGGGGTAGCAGCACGTAGATGACGAGACAGGGTGCAGAGCGCAGCAGTCAAGCGGAGATTGCAGATGAAGCACGGTGGACTTGGCGGCATGGCGTGCGCGTGCGTTTCGGTTCCTCTTCGAACCGCGTACATGTGCTAGAGCTCAAGCGTCGAATGGTGACCGTTGTTGTTAGGTAATTTTCCAGGTAGGTCGAATCTTGCAAGTTGGTGGAGAAAGGCAGGTCGGCCAGTGAGGGCCGAGATGGGAAAGTCTTGCCTGAGACAGGAGTGGAAACCGGACTCCCACCACCAGAGAGGAATTCATAACCACACCAATCTGTCACGCATGTCTTATCACTAACCAAATCTCAGAAGAAACCAAGCAAAACCTCCCTGTTCTCCCGCACTCTACCAACTATATTCCGCTAGGTCAGGCGCACTGCTGTATATTTTTTTTAGGGTCAACGGATATTTTGGGGCCGAGAAACGGGCCCAAACGTGGTACGCGCGGCAGGGGGGTCTCTAATTTCAAGTGATTTACTGCCGACACACGGGCAAAACACCCCCATACCCACCATTTCGTATTATTTGACCAGTGGGTACGTGCGAAAACGAAGGATTCGGTACAACCGTGAATCCGTGGTTTGTGGAAGCGTTCCGGAAATTTCGTGGAAGAGCGGCGAGATAATAAGTGGTACACGGGGGTATAGCTATACACAGGGTACAAAGAAGAGAGAGAGTTTGGCAGAAGCTTTTGGGATCCTTGGGAAGCCGAGGACCTCGAAGGGAAAAACGTTGCATCGCCCGCAAAGGCAGTGCAGCAAAGCAGCAGCGAGAGAAAAGAGTTTTCGTTTGGGACTTGATCGAATTTT